AACAGTAGAGGAAGCTTGTTACTGGATTGGAATGAGACTTCTTTTGATTCTAAAGAGAAAAGAAACCAGTCCAAGAGGGAAGGGAAATCATTATAATGCTTCTTGACAAAAAGATACATCATTACCTTGCTCAGTTATTATTATAATATATATTTTTTTTCTTTTATTTTTAATTATATACTTATCTTTTTTCAGAAGAAATTTCATATTAGACAATAATATATTATATAACAATTTGGAGGATATCTATTGAAAAAAAAAATTCAAAATTATATGACAACAAGAGCCCACTGAGCAACACCTTGTTGTCATTTTATCATCAACCTACAGAGTAATACAGTAATAAGAAAAATGTAAACAATAATATAGACAAAGCAATTTATTTAAAAAAATAGTTCTGAAGATTAATAAACTACATGTGGATTTGGGAAGCAAGCAAAATATTTAGTATTGCTAGAATTAGAACTAGGATCTTTATGTAGATAGCTCTTTACTCAAGAAGAATTGGGATTTCAAACAAAAGAACAGGAAGTAATATTAACTTGCCAAGAAAAAGAATAACAACTAAGAATGGAATGACGACACTGAAATAATACTGATTGAAACTTACCAACATGTTCCCGAAGTGCCAAAACTTCTAAATGCAAAGCATCTTCTTAATGAAGTCTTGCCACTATCCAACCAGTATTTACCTCAAGAAGTGAAGTAATACAAGACCGATAATGATCTAAGGATTCTTGATCATGAATTTGAAGATGTCACAGCTGATTTCTTTGTTCTTGGTATTGAGACCACAATTGAGATAATTAGTTTTGTAGCTTAACCAACTCATCTTGATATTTTGGACATTCACACCTAATAATAACATAATCAAGGAACTTAATTTTTTCTTAAAGGGCCATAATGCAACCAACAATAGTATCAGGATGTTCAATGGCACAAGCAAGTCTATTAATACGAGGCATAATTATAATTAGGAAAAGGGAGATAAAAGTATAACAAGGGAAAAATTCAAGTCTTTAAATATGGAAGTGATCAACAATATTAATTGATATAATCTCAAAAACTATATAACTACTCATATCCTAAAAAATTTCCTATCATAAAAAATATCCAAATTTACATATGGGTAATTATTTTTGAAGGTGGATCAGAAATTTTCTGGTGTGATCCTAAAATTTATATTATATATGTATTGTTTAAAAGCTGGGTCTGAAAAAATCATATCTAGCATTTTCGTCGCCTTCAAAAATAATTATTAATATCAATGATCTGTCTTGGAAAAAATGAACTTATTTAAAAATAGATATACTTTCCATTTTGGATAAAACCCTCAAGAGATTTACTATATCATATAATTCAATTGTACTAATTAATGAGTCTATTAGGATGATGATCTTGAAAATTATTCGATATATATAACAATTCCATCAAATTACTGTATTAATCTATCTGTATTATCTAGGAGAACTATTAAAAGTCATAAGGGACTTGCAACAAACTTGAAAGAAATATATTCAAAAATATTCACTACCTAATCATGAAAGATATTACCAATCCACCATACAAACTTATAAAATTTTTCAGGAGAATATGGAACAAATTTATTGAAAAAAGTATTTATCTATATACTACATTGCACCAATTAGAATTCTAGTTATTATATTATATTATATTATATTAGTTTAATATTTGATTTCGATACTTTTGGTTTAGTATCAATATTACAAAGTTTTGTATCGAAAATTTTCAATAATTACCCATATCAATATCAAAAATTTTTTTGGTATTGATTTTATAAAATACCATACCAAATGGTACTGATTAGAATCCTATATGTTCCTATTAAAGTAATGAATAAATAATTATGTTTCTTCAAAAAAGACATAATTGATCTGTAAAATTTTATATGCTAAATAATTTAAGGATCCATTCTTAAATGTAACATTAATTCCTATCAAAATATCAATGAAATGAGATGTTTGTTATAATAATAAATAACTTATATTAAAAAAATATTTCATATTTAATGCTTATTTATAACAAAAAAAAAAAAAAATTTTTTTAAAAAATTTTATTTATAGTAAGGATTTTTAGTTGATAATAATTATTAAAGTAGAAGATTTTTTTAAAAAACTTGATTTGACTTTTAAAAAAATCATAACTTTTTAAATGAGTAATTAATATTTGAAATTAAATATTATTTTTAAAATTAGAATTGTTAATTTAAATAAAATTTTAAGATATTGAAACAATATTTAACTATAGTTTTATCTGGTTTTCCAATTACAATTCTTTAAACAATTTTTCAAATAAAATAATATTGATAAAGTTGATTACTAAAAAATCAATTTTCTTTTACAATAATATATATACTGTATATATTGAAAATATAAAAATAAAATATTTTAAATAAATTCGTTAGATATTTTTATTTTGTAAATAAAAGATGCAAAAAATTTTAAATTTTTTTTTGTTAATCAAATTTTTTTTATTGATGAGGTGGCGAGTGATGGTGTCACACGAAATTGATGAATATAAAATGTCATGATTTTGATCTTTCTCAAAAGTTCACAAAATTTTAAATTTTCTAAAAAAAAATGTTTAAGAAACCGATATGGGCTAATAAACCTTGTTTCTTTATCGTCAAAGGGTCGAATAAATCAATCGGAAGGATTGGAGCTACCACAGATTTTGAGGTACTTGAGAATAAAGACAGACGATGCAAAGGATAGGATGTAATTCTAATTTCCACTCGCCATTTCTGCTAGAGTGTGATGAAAAAGCTGAACGACTATATCAATACGCCACCAGAACAGAGAATGCGTAGCCTGCCAACCAGGAGATGGGATGCAATAATGGCAATCACCGGGTTTCGCAGCCTTAATGATGCAAAAAGATTCGAAATTTACGTTGAAAACACATTTCGAACGGAGCTGCCCTTAGAAGAAATTTCATACTACAGACAATTCAAATCTGAAGAGTTCCCCCCCTGCGTATTCAAAAGAATTGTTATTGCTAGAAAACTGTTCCGGGAGTATTTCACCGAAAAACTGCCCAGGGAGCAACCAAAAATTTGGAAAAGTTGGGATATATATTGGTCGACGAAGTTGGATAAAACATTGTTGGACAATTTAAAAGTTGGTTGGGATATTGAGGATTTGAAGAAAATGAATGGAGTGAGTCAAAAAAACGATGAAATAAAGGAAGGACCTAAAAAAAAACTTTATGTAATCAGACATAAGCCCTTCGAGTTTGATGATTTTATACCTTGGAAGGAGCTCTTGGGGGAATGGAGGACGTTGAAGAAAGAAAAACAAAAGTCACAACCGGAAAATGTTTCGGAAGTGAAAGCAGTAGTAGCTCATGAAGTTAGAAGGCCCTCTATTCCTCTTGTGCCAAAGGTAAAGGATCATTGGTTTAAGATTGTTGATGACGATGATGAAGAATGAATGTTGGTCGGGAGACAGAGAACTTGATTATGTTTGCAATAATAAGTAGTTTGTGTAATCGATCTCTCATCCTGAATAAAGACAATCAAAAAATATAATTGATATGGTTGAGACAAACAAACGTAGATTCGCGTTTGGTAGTTAAACAAAAATCTGAGATTACAGTTAAAAAATAAGTTGAGAAAGGGAAAACAAGCCGATGCCTTCCGTTGATCGGTGCTCCGAAGCAATTCTATGTCACGAATAAATTTAACTTGTACAGTAAAATCGATCAATCAATTTTTGTTTATTTAAATTTTTTTTGCCTTAGGTCTGAACGAAAAGGTGTTTAACAAAAGAAAATTCGCCGAAAGTCAAAAATTTGTATTAAATTCCTATAAGTGGCTACAATCTAAATTAACATTTGATTAGTGTCCAACCGATTAGATTATTCACACCAACTCCACAGGGGTGGGTACACTAATAATAAATATATACTGTACATATCATAATCTGTAAAATTTAAAATTACAATAAATAACGAAAGAAAACATGTGCGTGAAAACAATAAAATCATCAAGTGATTATTAGACGAACTTAGATGTGACGTATGTAAAAACCAATATGTATGTACTGTATATATTAGACAAAATATCGAAGATCGCCATGAGTCTAAGCCTATAATTGAAAAGTAAACAGATCTATATTCAAATAACCGCATGCTCCTGTCGTCCATTGGTGTTATTACTACCATTGTTTCCGTATTCGGTCAAATTAGGAGGATATTGGGATTTATCATTCAAATCCGATTCATCCTCTTCGAATAACGTTTCGTCATGGTAAATAGATGCAGGCATTTTACTACATGACAGAAATAGATGGATGGTAAGCAGAAATTGAAGTATACGACAATTTCTTGATTAGAACGAAATGCATAGAACTGACCCTCGAGATCTTTCACTCCTACGCGGAGCCGTTGAATCAGGATTTATTTCATTTACATCAGAAAATGGATCTAGTTTTGATGTCCCGCTAGAAGAATTGTGAAGACATCAAGTGTTAGAGATAGATGAGGACCTTAACGAAAATATAAAGTCAATCACCTTCCCCCAACTCCGGCATGATTTTCCGAATCTTCGTGATCGTAATCAGTTCTAAAGGCTGTATCCTAAGAAAAAACCGGTTTAGTGTCTGAATGAATAAGTAATTTTAAATTAGACCATTTCTGATGAAGTTTACCTTTGATTTTTCTTTAGCCATCGTAATTTGACCTCGCTCCACCATCTCGTTATACATTTTAAATGCATTCACGATATCCTGGTTTGTCGAAATTAGAGTATCTGTTGATTTAATAAGGTCAGTCTTTTAAAAGAGATCACCATGTCAATGTTGCGAAATGACATTTCACACTTACTTAACCATTGTTCATCCTGTGTTACAGAAATATATTGCATAATAGTTTTTCTTAACGTTTCGCATTTCCCTCGAAATTCCTATGTAACATGATGTGAAGACAATGAACAAATGCGCGTGTGGTTGATGCAATTTAACCGAAAGAACTCATTACCTGGATCAGTTCATTCTTTGTGATATCCTCCACCTCAGGATCAGTGAATGAAATCATCTGTGTAAATAACTGAGTATTATTCTTTGCCAGCTCGACGTCTTCTACAATCTTCTCTAATGAAGGCTTCGCCTTTTTATACATAAAAAAACAAATCAACAAACAACCATGAATTGTGATAACAAACGTCTTTAGGATTAGTGCGAGCTGACACTCACGGGTGTAGTTCTCGTGGGGTTCGAGTATTGTTGAGGTTCAATGGTGGTCGACTAGCATAGATTTCATTTTTAGAAAAATAAATAAATAAAAATGGACGCGAAGAAAGAATGAACAACAAAGTTCAAGATAAAGCAGTGAAATGTTAAATTACTTGACGTTGAACGGATGCACCGGCGAGCCTGCCGAAGAGGTAAGAAACCTGCCACAAGCTCGGTTCGTCTTCAAACATCACGGATAATTCTCCCAATATTCCGATTATCTTTTCCTTGACGAGAGGATCAGTTTGAGAAGAGATTGCCACAAGCTCTAGCTCATCCAAAAACTTTTTTGATGCAATTTCGGCTGTCGTAGAGGGCAAATGGTTAGAATTAGGATCAGTATATGACAACAGCTATTTGATTTTAGAATATATAACACTTGCCATGAAACTTTGCCCCACAATTATCTGCCATAGCTCTCAGTATCTAAGATGATGAACAGATGGTCGTGAGTATTCTGTTGAAAACAAACATCGAACACAAGAAAGGCAATATCGATCGGCTTCGACATACACTTAGAGCTTTGTATTGTACATTGGGAGGTTGCTGTTTGGATATCTTCTTCTTAATGAATTTTACCGCTTCTTTTGCGCCGTTATCCGATGCGTTAACTGCATCACAAGCGGAGATTATCAATCCCCAGTCGTCTTCTGCCTTAAGAACGCATTGATCTATCAGTTCGTTAAGATGGGAATAATGAGAATTAATAGATCTCGGGGTATCATTAGTTCAGCCTCGTTCCTGTTGTCTTCACGACCCCTCCCCATTGAAAGAAGGAATTGACATACCCAAATATTCTGTAATTATCGTTTTGTTGGATTTTTCGAAAATTCCCATTTTACATATATCTTCTCAAGTTCGATTAATAAAGACTATGCAGCGAAGCCTGAGTAAAGGGCGCCTAAGTATCAGAGAAAAGTTTTGCGTTGCAGGTGAAACACGTTCTTGAAATTTGGATAGATCCTATTTGTAAGGATGGATTTCCACTTTTATTGAATTTGGGCCAAGACAGTTAATTGGCGTTGTATGAAGAAAATTAAGAAATTTTGGTTTCTTGGTAATTCTACTTAATTTATCTTGGTCACCTTGTCCCAATCATTAGAAGGTAGCCTGCCCAAGAGGAATATTCTGTATCGTTGTGCAACTTACCATAATAGCGTACAGTACGCACACGTGCAAGAAATCTCGGATTTTTTTTTTTTCATGTGCGCGATCAGCAGTTCGGCGTTTTTCTTGGATTTTATTTAAATATCAAACTCGTTACTTGGCAAGAGGGATAGGATAGTGGGATGCACGTACGTAAATGCATACGTACGCACTCGAATAAATTTATTTACAGCTACATCCTCTATGTAAAATACGTGCATGTGTGTGAAAATTGAAGATTGTATGAGAAAGAGAATAGATTATCAAGAAAAATAAAAAAAAATGTGTTAGTATAAGAGAAGAAAAAAAAAAAGAAAAGAAACCTAAACTTTTTGTCAAATATAATTTATTTCGTGATGATGGGAAAAAAAAAGTTAATTCGTCAAAATACTCTCATAAAGTGAGAAAATTATGCCGGCACCGGAACCGACGTAAATCAAATTTTCAGGGATGAAATCACGAACGTCTTCGACCCAATCAAAATGACCAACGGTGACAAGGAAAATTCCACACTGTGCAACAGAAAACGCTAGGGGACTAAACATGTGACGTTGTTGATCAAGATTGAACATATATGAGAAACCGAGTGGTATGGCAAGTAGATAGATAAGAAATGCTATCAATGGACGCCAAAAGCGATGCCATTCGATGATAACAAAGATATCGGGTCCATGTAGGTCGAAAGAGGACTGATCATTTGTTGTTCCCTTGGTAAAAGATGGAATAGGCACGGTGGCAATCTGTCGAGAGAATTTGTGCGTCAATATCTCAAAATGAAATAAGTTTTTCAAGGGTCGAATCTATTCTCCCACCTTTAGATTCCATTCAACTGCACAATATAAAAAAACACTAAGTTCGAAAAACACAATGCACTGAACAAATGTTCGCGTATTGGAGTACTCCTATAATAATGATTATCATAATTACAATAATGGTAAGTCGCAAAGTTGCAATTGTCATATGGTCACACTTGGTGGAAACGAATACTCGTGCCTTTCTCAACCGAAGAATATAGTTATGGAGCGTATCGAGGCTAATGAGATTCTCTCTCGGTAAACCGCGTTGGGTGATTACTTCCCCTAGGTCGGTATTATTTGATAATGTTCGATGTCGCGCATTGACAACGATTTCCTGTGATAATTTTTTAACAGTCAATTGCTGGTTCAAATAGGAGTGAGAATCCCCATGTGGTTTTGTGGTCACCTGTCTGATCTCGATGTCCGACAACTCCGATTCTTCCTCAGATGCTCTAGAAGGTGATGCGGAAACGAATGAATTTTTGTACCGTATTTACATTATTCCCCTATCATTGGCCCACAATACAAACCTTTCTCCACCATTCGGGGATGAAGAAATCGCACTTGGTTTCCTAGATTTCGGCCTATTACTACTGGTACTAGGCTTGCGACTTGGACGGCGTGTGGGAGTAGAAGTACCGTCACCTATGCTTTCTTCCTCTTGTTTGGTTTCTATTAAGTGTGCCCTTGTAAAGCAAATGAGAAAAGTGTTGAAAGTCAACATTAA